AATTAGAATGTAGATACCTTACAAAAAAAATCTCGTATTTAGTTATATTTCTTAACTATCTCAGCTAAGCTAAACTTTGATATTAATGATGCTAGCCAAAGCAGAGAAAAATACAAAGAACACCTTCCTCTAAAATTTGGTTTTTGTAACATACGATAATTTTGCGCAAAGGAGTCGATATAGAGTTATTACATTTTCAAAAGTGTTATGTAGAGATGTGAAACAACAACAAAATTTCAACAACTGTCGTAAAATAATGTAACTTTACGATAAATACAACACCTTGTGAATTGCCTTATTGTTCGGCATTTTCGGCCGAAGGCCGAAGCCGAAGATAAAAAAAACCAGCCGAATAGGTCGAATACCGAAGCATGGCCGAACCTTCGGTCGAACAGTAACATGCATACATGTGTAGGAATATATTCCCTGCAGAGAAACTAGTTAAGCGCTAGTTATTTATCGCCAAAAACAAACCAGTCGGATAGTAATTAGATCCTCACCAGTACAATAGCAGCGAAATGTTAATCTTAACAGAATTTGTTTATTTTACTTTTCAAAACTACATACATATATTACATACGATTTTCAACATTTTAAAATTTTCGCTATGCCATAATGCTTTTGCTCCATCCTTAAAAACAGCCAGTATTCGCTAAGTCTTGCAACACCCTTGCACGGCGTATGGATTGCCCGGGTAGCAAAGTTTTCCCATAGGAAAGCCGGTACTACCGTGCAATCCGTGAACCTTGTAAGGGTTTTGCAAGACTTAGCGAATACCCTTATTGTAAAATACATATTGTACAGTGGGTACTTTCCAAAACTGAAAGTGTGACCGTATTTTATTTCTAAATCAAAATGAATTAAAATGTCCAATTAGCGCAACTTTGCACAAAAATCGCGTCTCTGAGATTGAGCTTATTGAAAATGGATTGGATTTAGAATTTTGTAGCTTTTTCTTTGGTTATTGTGCTTAAATGCGTGCACCGAGTTGCAAAGTTTTGTCTACTATACACACTGGCTGAGGTTAGGTTATACTGGCTCACCTTAAGACGTCTCACATAGACGTATGTATATATGGTCCGCAGCGTTGCCAGACGCGTTTACAACACATGAAAGAGTGATTTCACGCAATGTTAAAGAACATCGCCATTCCTTTGGCGAATTTTAGTAGACACTTTGGTCCTTTGTCGATTGCTTACTGCAGTCCGTGCCTTGCCGAGTAGCGTGAGTCCTTGCATGCTGGATACTGGGCACTAGTAAATTATATGCTCCACAGTTTTTTCGTGATAGCTACACTGCCTACACATGTCATCTATAAGGCTTAATTTGAACGCATGTGAAATCAGTAAGTTTCTTGTTGTATGAACTATAAATAATCTTTGCAAGTCTGTAACCCTGAGTTCATTTCCAAAGCCTATCTGCTTGGTGGTACATGAGCATGAGGTATCAATCAAAAATGATCTTTGGTCACAAAAAAAAAAACCCCTTTCCACATCCGTCGATGTAGTTGGACAAAATTCGAATAAACTCAATTCTGCAGGGGAAAACTTCGATAGGTCTTCACTCCTAGTTTTGGAGCCAGTAAACAATTGGGGAATTTACAAGACGTTTTAAGCGTCGCAATGTCTTAAAGTCTTAAAATTTTTCAAAGGTTAATACCTTTTTAGTCGATTTGTAACTTGACCAAAATCTGTTTAATGTACTAGGAAACATATTATTTGCTATTATTATACCCTTCGAATCTTTTAAAACGCATTTAGCCATTACTTAATATTGAAGAATTTTAAAACGATTAGACATTACGACAACAAATGACTTGTGAATCGCCTAAACATATCTTTTATATTAGCAGGGTATTTGGCCAAAATACTTTCAAGTTTGTTTTAATATACATTTATGTTCAACATTTCGTATTTCTATTTCACAGTTGTCACAATTTTCAATCTTTCTTTTAATGTCACACCGTTTGTTTGAAGCTTGAAGTAGGTATAACATACTATCAAATAACCAAAATTTGCTTTAATGAATGCCAAATCTGTTCGAATTTGTTCAAGCTCTAGCAGTTTGTATGTATAATTGCATTGTATCAAGGCGAATTTATACAAGATGGTATCAGGCGTATAAAAACATATGTATGTATAAATTCGCCTTCTTTCACGCATGTCCCTTTTTGCCCGAAAATGTATGAAATGTTGCCAAATATGCAAAAATAAGCACGTACATAAGTCGAATATTTATATGCAAAATCCAACAAAATTTCCAGACACTATATGCAAAATAAGCCAGTCTTGCTCAATACCTTCCACACCCTTGTGTCCTAGGTAAGGCATCCAATCCCGGACCATTTTGTGAATACCGGGATTTCGGGATCTTAAATTGGTAATCCCGGGATCCCGGGATATTGCGGGATATTATTACCATTAATTAAAATATGCTAACAAACTAGTTTTGTAGTCTTTCTTTAGTTCGAATACTAGAAATATAAATAAATTTGTATTTTTAAGCAAAGAAATATAAATATCTAATTACAAACTGAATAAACTAAAAACAATGGAATAGAAATTCATTCATATTGCAGTCGCATTACATTTACATTCATTCATATTACATTTACATATAGTATTTATACATATACATATATGTGTAGTAATATTAGTGTGTCACAACCTATGTATATAGACAAGTCGGACGGATTTCGTAAAAAACAATGATATGTCTCCGATTCGCTTCAAATTTTTTAATGGATTCTATACATGAAATAAGGTAACACATATTCGAGGTATTTTTTTTTTTCTTCGGAGATATGATCTGTCAAAGTTTGAATTTTTTCATGATTCTGACCATTCATGTACTTCTTAAAATCGTATATCTCGGGCTCTACTCATCTACTCATCTACTCATCTACACTTATGATTGTCCTAAACTTAACTTAGCTATTAACAGTTGAACTTTTTTAAGTTGATTTGCATAGTAAAGACCAGTAAATTTGGGATTTAAAATTCGTAATCCTTGTTTAATTCTCTATAAAAAAATGGGAGCTTTTCAAGAACTATTTTTAAAATATTTTTTTTTATGACGAGGTGGTTTATTTTGTGAGAGTCAACAATGACGTCTCTACGATGAACAGAAGCCGGGATATAACAATTTGAAGAAGTACATGATTATTTAGTCAGAATCCAAAATTTGACAGATCATATATCCGAAGAAAAAAGGAAAAATGTGAAGCCAATCGAAATTCTGACACCAATATAGAACAATAGTAGTGTTAGAATTGTAATATAGGTGGATAGTTTTAGCCGCTGCTAGCCTTTTTGTAGCCTCCTTACAGTCCGCAACGGTGATCGAATTTGTATTATATGAAAGTAGAGTCTTGATGACCGTCTGACTATCTATGTAAAAGTTTATCTGCTCCCTTGGCGGCAGAAGTATGAGAACACAATTTTTTTGTCCCAAAGTTAATTGACCTCAGGTACCCATTGTAGAACCTAGACACCAGATTTCAGTTCTCATTACCCTAACGTAACACCTTAATGCTAAATAAGTATCCAATAAAACTATTAAAGTTTTTTATTGGTGAATGTAGGTGTCATTAAAAATTTTAATTGTAGGTTCGGCAAAAAAAATACATTTGTGTAATTCATCTAAAGGCGTAAATGCCTCGTAACCACGTAAATTTCGTAAACTTAACTTAATTTTGTATGGAAACCCGTTTTACATATATGCGAGTTTTACGCGGTTACGAGGTGTTACGAGTTTAGATGAATACCCATATTTTTTTTGAAATTACCTTGCAAAAATGCTTTAGACTTAGTGAACTTTTTATTTGTTTGCTTGCAAGTTGGTTCGGTGGTACGGTCGAATATACACATAACAGATTTATCTTGCATTCAAAACTAATTTTATTTTATAATTCCATATTCGCGGTTACATGAATTAGGTTAAGACAAGAAGCAAATTGGAAAATTTATTCTGAGAAATTTTTATAAATTATTTAATAAAGTGTTCGACTCAGATAAACTGTGAATAGGGTAGCCGAAGCTGGACTAATTTTTTGGAAAGCGGCCGAAGAAAGGTTTTCTATTCAAAAATGCAGTGAAACTGAAGTTTAATTATACTAAAGTAGCTTATTAATTATGAATAAATATGTTTAAACATTCGTGTCGATATTGTTGTTCCTTAAACCGATCAGATTCAATGAGAAGGAGAATTACCGCGAAGTTGTCATGGTTCTAAATGCTTTAGACCGGAACCAGTTCGATACTACATAGTGCGTTTCCCTACAGGGATTGCTCTCATGTGGAGACACACACACACCTATAAACACATATATTTTTATTAGGATTTATCACACTCACACCTACCAACACTGTACACATAAACTTTGGGTGGAAATCAGCCTTCGGGCGATTGGACACGATTTTTTCCAAATTAATTGTTTGAGGCCATATGAATTTATTACCATACCAAATCTCGTATTCGAATATCAACTCCGAATTCGAGCATACAAATTATACATGTGCGTGCAATCGGAGGGAGACGTGAACAATAAATATTTGCAAGTCTTAGCGAAGACTTCTGCGATTACTCCCAGCTACTAAGTAATGTAAATTAAGTGTCGACACTGCGATGATGGCCCCCGGACTATGACTACTTAATATAAACTTTTATTATATATACTTAAGAGATGTAGGACTATTAGTTGCACCGGAAAGCAAAATATAATAACTCCGAATTCTATGGATGTGGAAATCTTCTATGCATGTACATTCCTTATTTGCTTCACTTATTTAGGCGTGTCAGCAATCTGCTGGTGCGTTAGCAATTAAGGATAAAATTTATCGACTCATTTTATTAGCTCTGAATTGTTTTATTTGGTGGTTTCTTCTGCAATGTACGAAAGTTCATGTGGGTATAATACATAGTTAGATTAAGATGCTGACTGTCGCGTAGAACCAAAATTACGCTTATTTTATAAACTCTTTTCTTCTTTTTATGCACAGACTCAGATGCCATGGAAACAGACACTTCAGCGCAGGATATGCTGACATGTGGATCCTGTCAGAAAACGTTTGCTCTTTCGGATATAGTTAAATTTATACAACACAAAGTGCTACAATGTAACAAAGAGAACTACGGCCAGTGTTCAACTCAAGGCAAGTGATCAAAAGTTTTTAAATAAATTTATTCAAAAACATACATACATTAAATTCGGTCAAGTTTTTAATAAGCCGCAATGGACTGAAGGCAAGAAAAGACAGTGGTTAGTCATTTCATTGAAGAACTGATTTTCCCATTATTTTATTAATCGTTGTACCTTTGAGAAGTTCAGCAGTGTTAAGTTATCTAAAAAGTATTGATAGGAACGTAGCTTTTAGCAGAGTAACAACTGCCTCTAATACCAGGGCATCGATACCTTGGATAAGGAATCTATTATTACTTTTTTTAATATAATGGATTTAAAAATTAACTCATAGGGCTAGGAATAGGAATTTTGTTCGGATTTTTTTTACTATCCGCATAATCCACATATTGAACATTCGAATCAGTGATGCCAACCGGGGGTGGAATTTGAATTTCCCGGGGGAACCGGAGAATGGATTAAAATTTAGGGGAATTCAATATATAAAAGATTTTTATTAGAAAGTTCCTATTGAGCATATAATTACAACTTGTAATTGCGTAATTGCCTCATGCAACCGTGTGGATATTAAAGAAAGTGCAAAAGTTCATAGCGACATTTTTCACTTGATGTTAATCTCACTTCGTTTTTGGCGCCAAGCTAACGTCTGGCAAAGTTTCGAGCAGTCTAATAAAAGTAAGTATTTCTTAATGTATAGAGAATTTTCCCAAAACTAATTAAAAAATACTGCAATCTGAAATAGGCTTTGCATAGATACTTTGGAGGCAATTTTAAGTACAAAACAACTATTTAAAAATAAAACCTCTTGGTTTTAGTGCTACTTGTAGTTAATTACAAAAATTTCATCAATAAATATAAGATTCTAAGGAATAGGCAATCTGTGCCCGATATACACACATACTTATGTATTTGATAGATATGCTTTACGAGATATATTCGGAAGTATGAGTTTTATATATTATTAAAAACATCTGTCCTTATTTTCTCATTATAATTAATGATATTATTTTTTTAATAACAATTAATTTTTAAACAAACAAGTAAGAAAGTCTAAGTTCGGGCGGAGCCGAATATTAAATACCCGGCGCAAATATTAAATATACGTTTTTCACCTTTCCGAAAGCTACCGCTACATGGTAAGCCAGGGTGTATCAATTTTGAGTAAATTAACGTCCTTAAATTTCGAAATATTGAAGTTTCAAGCATTTCTGGAATATGCCGTTATATGAAAAGCGGCCGTAATTTTAGTCCGATTTCAATAATTTTCAACGATTTGCTTTTGTGTGGCAAGCACAATAACCACACTGAGTTTGGTACAAATTGGTATAATGGTTACCGGGGTACATATATATATATATATATATATATATATATAGTGGGCGGTGCCACGCCCATTTTTCAAAATTTTATGATAAACGTGTTTCTTGGTAAAGAGTTGTTGCAAGCATCAATTTTGAATAAATTAGCTTTAATATTTACTGATTTATCGAAGATTTCGTATTTCTCTAAATTACCGTTATATGGGATGTGGGCGTGGTTATTGTCCGATTTTAAAAATTTTCGGCCATTTGGTATCTACAACTGTGCCAAGTTTGGAAGAAATTGGTGCAGCGTTTAGCAAGATATACACATGTAACCATAAGTGGGCGTGGCTACGCCCATTTT